CCCCAAAACCCCAAAACCCCAAAACCCCTTTTTCTATAAATTTTATTGAAAAAATTTCAAATAAATCTACTGGCTCGACCGATATTTTCTACATCAAATTTAAGATTTGTCAGATGTTTTTAGTTATAAATTATTAAAAAAGCCAATTATGGAAGACAAGGAAGCACGCCTGAAGAGATTTCCTGCCTCTTGGTCAAGGTATGACTTCATACAGTGCAATTAATCTTACCTTCCAGTATAGAAAATAAAGAATTTAGCTAGACCTGAATTTAGAACTAACCCAGAAAAGTTTTACCCAACTGAAACTCTGAACAAATTAGGATTCTCCAGAAATGAGTATCCGAAGTATAATAAATTTAACTGGAAAGCCTCTGAAGAAAGAGATACTTGTGGAGACTCAAAGTAAGCTTCTTGTTAATCTACCAAACCCTCGGCCGTGATTAATCATATACAATATAGCTGTGTAGGAAAGTACACTTTCATCAACAATGAATTCTTGGAAGAAGGAAAGGAGATGACTTATGCAGAAGCCTGGAAGAGTAAGTATTATAGGCCTTAAAAGAAGCTTAACCAGTGTCAAAGCACAGTGCAAATAAATTCCCAGATATCCTATTGTCGCTCGTTGACGAAATAAATTGATGTAACAGCTGCTGGAATCTACTGCTTCCAGCCATATTGAGTTACTGGAGAGTTAGACCCACCAGCTAACCCTCTGATCCAGCCTCAATTCTATGCTTGATTTAATAATTTGGATAATATTGGTTTAACAGGATGACATTACTCTGGATTCACGATGTTTGGTATTCAAGTGTATAATTATCCCAATAATTACAAATTCTTCAAGGATAAATACATTGAGTTTAACTACAATTGGCTTACTGAAGAGCTAAAGATTCCAAAAGAAGAAATGATATTTTTTGAAAACATCTGGGCTGGAGTGGCAATCTTGGACCATCTATTGAATACTTCGTCAGAGGACTTGAGGTTGGAAATATGATCTTCATGCAGTACAAGACCTACCCCGATGGAAGTAGAGAAAAACTCGAGATCAAAGTCATAGATACTGGAATTGGTCTTGAAAGAATCCCATGGCTCATGAATGTTAATGCAATATCATACATGATTGTGTTCAAAAATGCATTTGAATGGCTTTCAGAAAGGCTCCAAGTCGTACCAGATATGGATATTTGGTAAAAATTCGGTCCATACTCCTCACAACTTGAAGTTGGTGAAGCTGAAGATATTGACAAGACCTGGCAACAGATTACCGATGTTGTCGAAAAAGACTTAGAAGAAGTTAGAGAGTCGATTGCCCCATCCAATGATATGTATATTATTCTCGATCATACCAAAACAGTAATGATCACGATCATTGACGGTAGCTTATCATCTAATGTTAGTGGAGGAGGTAGAGTAAGAAACATCCTCAGAAGAGTGTTCGCTGTTCTCCAGAAGAACGACTGGTTAGAGGAAATCGGAGAGATGAAAGACCTCCTTGAACTTTTTGAGTACCACAACTGGAAGACATTTTTGGAAAATTTAAAGAATACAAGAGCTTTGATGAAATTATTTAGGTTGAATATGATAGATGGAGCAATACTAATGAAGCTATGCAAGCTAACTTGAAGAAAAAGAAGAACCAATTGACTATTGATGATTGAGATTTGTGCATGAGTTCTTACGGAATTCCAGCAGATACAATCTCTAAAATTAATTGCTTAGAAATTCCCACCAATTTATATTACTTCATTGCTGATAAGAAAAAGAGATTGACAAAGGCTGCTCCTGTTATCCTCTATGATATTTCTCACCTATAAGAGACTAGGAACCTTTATTATCATAATCACCACTTGTATAAGTTTGAAGCAAACATCAAGGATGTTTGCTTGGATGTTTAGGAGCAAAACTTTCAGAACATTGTCATCCTCAGCCAGAGTGCTTTCTATCCAACTTCAGGAGGACAACTTCACGATACAGGAGAACTCTTAATTGGAGAAGATAGATATGAAGTCAAAAATATTTAGAAAGTCGAGAAATCAGTACTCCACTTCATCAAACTAGATTTCCCAGGAGATAAGCAAGATTACATTGGAAAAGATGTGAAATGCGTAATTGGTCATAAGAGACTTAACCAATTAAGATCTAATCAGACTGGTACTCATATTGTATTAGCTTCATACAGGAAGATCTTGGCTAAAATGTATAGCAAAATAGTGCTAAGAAGACCCTTGACATGGCTCATCTCGGTATAACACATTATAAGTCTTTAACCAAAGAGCAGGAGCTTGCTATTGAAAATGAAGCTAACAGAATTATTTGTGCTAGTGCCAATATTAACAAGTAAACAATGAGCAAGTCTGATGCAGAGAAAGAGTTTGGTTTCAACCTTTACCAAGGAGGTATTGTGTCAGAAAACTAGCTGAGAATTGTCAACATTGAAGGAGCCGATACTAAAGCATGCTGTAAAACTTATTGTGGTAATACCTCAGAAGTAGGATGGATCAAGATGATTAATTCCAGAAGAATTTCAGATGGTATAATGGTCAGACTTTACTACATTGCTAATGAAAAAGAGATAGAAGTTATGAATAGATAAATTATTCTCCTTCAAGACGTTTGCGAACTCTTGGTATTGACCAACCACAGATTTTCCCTACTGCTGAGAGATTCTTTGAAAACTACAAGAAGCTCAATGCTCAAACCAACAAACAAGATGGACAAATTCTTGGACTTCAGATGAAAGTAGTTTTGGATGGAGCTGCTGATAGACTAATGACTGATTCTGACCATAGTAACCAAGAATCTACTTCTCAAACATTGTCAGTATGCCTCCAAAGTCAAAGAGAAGGGAAAATCAGTCATCTTCATTGGTCCCACCTTTATCTTCTATCTCTTTAGTAGCAAAAAAGTGATTGACCTCAAGAAACTCGAATAATTGCTTAAAAAGACTAATCCAGGTAGATACAAAATGAAGAAGCCAAAAAGGTCATTTTCAAAGCCAAAGGACAAAAGAAGCCAACTCAGACTAAAGCTATCCTTCAAATCTCTATCCCAGGAATAAAGCTTGACGAGGAAGTCTTACAGAAATATTTAACTGAGAAGGAGTTTTCCACCTCCAATGAATTATTTGTGAAAGGTTCATATTCTTCAATTCCTATTTTAATAAAAGGGGTTTTGGGGTTTTGGGGTTTTGGGG